CATTGCTTTCTCGAAGGTAAATGAGGACGCAGTTTACTCATGACACTTTGGTTTTCGTTTTATTTACGTTGTTAACTTTTATAAAAAATCTTTAGTATTATCGTAACTTTTAACATAATTTAAAAATTTTTGCATCAAATTATAAAGTTATACCAGTTTTGTGGTCATTAAGATGAATTTGTTTAAATGTGTCATCTTTGAATTTATTGTCCTAGCTATTAGTTGGCGGACTAGCTGACATCTCCTTGCTGCGTGATTTAGGGATTATTTTAACCTATGTCTCAGGAACGTTCTTTTAATGAGGTAAAAGGTGTTGATGGGACCATCAACGGGGAGGAGAATGGTACTCATAAATCCTGCTCTTCACCCACCTCTGAAAACTGCGAAGAACATAGGCCTGAGAATAGCTACTCGGGGAGTCCGCGCTCAAACAAAAAGATATTTGTTGGAGCTTTGGCCCAAAATACGACTGAGCGTACGCCGCCCTCTTTCTTTACTGCGATTTAGAAGATCTAATTGATTATTTTTCTAAATTTGGGGAGATTGTGTCCTGTGCTGTGAAGGTATTTCGAGATACTGGATGCTCTCGTGGCTTCGGTTTCATCGTTTTCAAGAACGATGAGTCCGTAAAAAAGGTCAGCTCTTATCAGAAGTGCTGAGTTTTTGTAGGTCTTGAGCATTCCGGAACACATAGTTAATGGGAAGAAAATCGATCCCAAACCGGCGAAGTGTCCGAAGGATACCCAGCGGAAAGTTTTCGTCGGCGGTCTGGATCCCGACGTCACCCCCAAGGAAATTGAGGAGCATTTCAGTAAATTTGGCAAGGTTGAGGCAGTCGAAACACCGTTCGATAACACTCGAATGCGGCGTAGGAGTTATGTTTTTGTTGTGTTCTCCTCTGAGTCCGAAGCTAAGAGGGCTGCTTCTGTCGAGAGGCAGGAGATTAATGGAAAAAGTGTAAGCATTTTAACTTCTTCCCGAAGTCACTTATTACTCTCATTCTAAGCCTCTCTTTCGATTTCAAGTGTGACGTACGTGTCGCTGTTCCCCGAGAAGTCTCTTTCCGGCAACGAGGTATATTTTGCGCGTTAATATCTACTTTGCTGCCCGTTTTACTGAATTAATACTGCGTTTTGCAGCCATGGCACAAGCAACCCCACAATTTTCCCTGGCTGATATTCAGCAGGCTATGCTGAATCTCTTCTACTACAATAACCT